TTTAAAATAATTTTTATACATTTGGATACTCTTGCACTAAATTGACATTTAAAAAGATTCTGTTCATGACAGATAGAGTGATTTATATTAACTATGAAAGCTTGGGAAAAACACATATTTCACGGCTTTGGAAAACTATTAAGGCAGTGAAGAAGTGGGGTTTAGATCTAGGGGAATATCCAATAGAAGCAATGGAAGCCAAAAGAAAGAAAACAACTGCCAACCTAGAATTCTCTACTCACTAAGTATATCTTGTAAAAGTAAGGTAAAATAAAAATATTTTCAGGAAACAAAAATTAAGGGAATTTGTCACCAGCAGACCCCCACTAAAGGAAAAACTAAAAGGAGTTCTTCAGGCAGAAGGAAAATGATTCCAGATGGAACCTCAGAGATAACAGGAAGTAATGAAGAACAATGGAAAGGTAAATATGTAGGCAATCTAAATAAATAATGTTTTTTGGGATTAATAGCAATGCCATTATAGGTTGGGAGGGTAGTAAATGGAGTTAATTTCTAAGGATCTTACATTGTTCATTAAGATAAAAGTTAACTTTAGACTTTGTTAGTTTAGAGTTGGTTATTGTAATTTTGTTACTTCTATAATAATTTTCTAGAAATATATAATATATCTTTATATATTATATATTGTGTAGGGAAAAGCAATTGAAAACAGGTTTAAAAGGACAAAAGATTTAAATCCATGTATATCCAAGCATTAAGTAATAATAGACTTAATGCTTGAATTAAAACAATATTCAGTGCTGAGGGCAGAGAGGGGCTGGTAATTCAATGGCAAAGTGCTTGCCTAACGTCCATAAAGCCTTTGCTTCAATCTGTAGCACCAGAAAAAAAAAAGTTAAAATATTAGCCAGTATTTTATCAGAAGTTATATACCCAGAAATAAAGAAAGATAAAAGATTAACATGACAAAAATAAAAGTCAGATAAGCAAAAAGGCTGATATATATATGTATATGTATATATATATATGTATATGTATATATATATATATGTATATGTATATATATATATATATGTATATATATATACTTATATATGATTATGGACATAGAAAACCCAAAAGATATGTAGATAAACTATTAAAATTAATAAAGGCATTGAAAAGGCTTTTGAAGCTGGGTGTGGTGATGTGTGCTGGTAGTACTACTTACTTTTGAGACTGAAACAGAAGGATTCCTGGTTCCATGAGAAATGGAATTTTGAGACGGCCTGGGCAACATGTGGGGCACTGTGGCTTATAAAGAGAAACATCCAACAAACCATATGCACACATGACTAACAGAACTGTTGAACCAACAGAAAAAGCAATTGGATTTTTATATGTAAACGCCATGTAAAGAATAAGATTTAAAGGATATATCTTTTACAGTTAGATCACAGAATATTGAAACCTAAGGAATAGTTATAACAGAATATGCCTACAATTTTTATTAAAAATCATAAGCATTGGGTTGGGGAATTTAGCTCTGTAGCAGAATTCTTGCCTTAGCATCGTCCAGGTCCTGGGTTGATCACCAGCACCGAGGAAGTGGGAGGCCTGTAAATATTGAAAGAAGTTCTCATGTTCTTCCATTGGAAGAAGGAGAATTGTAAATATCTCCATAGATTGTTATTTCTGTCCACTGAAATTCAGAAAATCTCAGAAAAGTTTTTTTTTTTTAATGAAAAAGTCAGTCTAAAAATAAACAATGGGCTCATGCCAGCGGCTCATACCTGTAATCCTAGCTACTCAGGAGGCTGAAATCTGAGGATCACCATTTGAAGCCAGCCTGGGCAGGAAAGTCAAGAGACTCATATCTCCAGTTAATTAAAGAAAAAGAAGTGGTGCTGTGGCTCAAGTGGTAGAGAGCCTTGAGCAAAAGGAACTCAGAGACAGTGCCCAGACCTAGAGTTCAAGCCCCAGGAACAGCGAAAAACAAAACAACGAAAATCCTAAAAAGATAAGAGGAACCAAGATAATCTTCAAAATCATTGTGAGAGGGTATATGATGGTATATGATGCCAAGTATCAAACTTCCTAACCTTTGGTCACTGAGGCAAAGTAGTCTCAGGGCAAACTTAGGAGAACCATGGAAACAGAAGACAGACATGGTGGTTAGATTTAAAGGTGATGCTGCAAAGCATTGAAGTCAATTCTTCCTTCAGTGAGTGATACTTGATCTATTGGATCTTGGTTTGTGGAAAAATGAAACTTTTATTGCTGAATCACTCTATGATTTAGCAATAATATCATCCAATATCACCCAAGTGATATAATAAAGAAACAAATAGGTGAAACTCTTCATGACTTACATGAGGAAGACCACTATCTGGCTTCAAAAAGTACTGAAAGAGGGGTTGGGGATTTAGCTCAGTGGAAGATGACTGGTCTAGCAACTACAAGGCCCTGAGTTCAGTTTTAGAACTGCCAAAAAAAAAAAGAAGTATAGAAAAGAAAAATAAATACTAGGTTGCATCAGAGTTAAGAAAAAGTAGAAAATAAAGTAAAAGGACAAGCTGAAGAGAGGAAGATGTGGCTTGAAATGTATAGAACTGAACATAAAGTTTATGTCCAAAATAAATAAGGAATTTCTACAAGCTGATAGACAAGAAGACCTATTTGAAAAACAGGAAGGGGCACCAGGGTTTGATAATGGATGCCTATAATCATAAAAGTATATCAAGTTCAAGGACAACCTGGGCAACTGCAAGACCTTGTCTAAAATGATCATCAGCAGCAACAAAACACAAAAACCAGGAAGAGATTTGAAAGACCCATCCCATCCTAAAAGAGCCTATCCCATTAGCTAATAAATATGAAAAAGCTATCACAAAAATTGCAGTTTAAGGAACATGGATACACGATTGAACATCCATAATAGCTAAAATAAAAGACTGACAATACTAAGTGTTGCTCTACTTCCAAAGGACAATACTATGATATGAACTATAATAGAGGTGAAATTGATGCAACCATTTGGAAGACTGGTCTCTAATGAGTACTAAAGCTGTACATATACATATTTTATGCTTCAGAAGTTTCACTCCTAGTAATATACCCAGAAATATGTATGTATTGGCACCAGAAGACATATACTAAAAAGGTTCATTGAGCATTATTGTAATGACCAAATACTGGAAGCAACACCAAATCCATCAAGAAGACAATGAGCTAATATGGAATGAGCTAATATGGAAAAATATCACTAATAAAATGTTGAATGAGAAGGTGTATACAAAAGAATATGTGTTGTAAGACTTCATTTATATGACTCTCAGAACCTTTCAAACCTACAATATTAAACATTAGGATAATACTTTGGTGAAGAGGGAAAGAATATTAGATTGGCATGGGGCATTGGATTTCTTGGTTCTTATTAATTTTCATGGACAGATGGTTATGGATGTGTTTATTTGGTGATAATTGGAGCTATATGCATATGATTCGTGCTTTTATTTGTATTATATGTCAATTCAAAATTTTAGCTGGGGCATGGCTCAGTGGGAGAGCACCAGCCTATCAAATGTGAGACCCTGAGTTCAAACCCCATTACTGCCAAAAAATTAAATTCTAAAGGAACTGACCCATCTGGGATACATAGCCTGGTGGTTACCACAATTTATGTAATTTCAGTTTTCCATTTACATTGTTGGTTTTTCTTTTGGCCTTGGTAGAGAGAGGACAAGGTTGGATTTTCATTGACTTTATTTCCTTGTGTGCACTCATCACTTCAACTACTGGTAGTCTAGCTCTGGTGATGGAACTGAGCGGTGGGGAGTTCTGTAGCAAGAAGATTTTTGAGAATATCAAATTTAGATTGTTAGTGAGACCAAGATAGCATTATAGAGAAACCCTTTGAAGTAAACATGGATGGAATATTTCCAAGAGTTGTAATAGTGCTGAGGAGTTGATTTTTCTTTTATCACCTTTACTGTGATATATGTAAAATTAGTGCTAATGCAATATAAAGAAAAGAGCGTAAAGCTTTAGGATGAAACTCAGATTCATATCCTGGCTTCTTTGCTTCCTGCTAGATGCATAACTTTGGGGAATTGACTCTTTAATTTTTTTTTGTGCCCCAATTGCTTCCTGTCGAAAAGGGCTCTGTTTTTGACTAGATCACTATGAAGATGGACTACCTGCCCTGTGTTTGTTTGGTACATTGTATGTCTCAGTCTTCTAGGCTTCTTTCCCATCCCACTTGCTAGATACTAAATGATTAGTAAAGGCAGATTTTTTTCCCCTGATACTAAATGATTAGTAAAGGCAGATTTTTTTTCCCTAACTGTGGCAAGACTGAAGTATTTTCTGTATGTATTCTAATAGTCTGCTTAAGGCAGAATTCTTTGAAGGAAAATAGCTTATTGTGAATTAATTTTTGTTTTTTAGTATAAGGATCCAACCCTGTTCTCTCTTTTCACAGATTTTTAGTATAAAAAATTGCTCATTGAAAAATACAAGATTTTATAAGAAAAAGTATCCATAACCATATCACACATGTAGATGCTTTTAGAATTTTGGTGTATTTTCTTCTTTTACTTGTATTTACAATTTAAACTATAGTTTGAGGTAAAGCCATACATGTGTATTTTGTTATTTTTCTTTTGCATCCCTCATTTTTTTAATATGTAATATTTCTTCCTAGTTATTAAGTTTACTTTGTATATCTTAGATAGTATATATAATATGAAGCATCTTAGGGCATAGTATTATCCAAGGATTTTATTGTTGGATAGGGTGTTTCAAGTTTTTTGTGTAAGCAATCTCTTTAGCAGCTCATCTATATTTTAAGTAGTTTTCTTATATTTAGAAAAATACAATTACTGTATTATAAAGAAGATACTTTTAATTTTTAATATATATGTTTTTAGAACTGCTGTTTGGGAAGGATATCACTTTATACTTCTACCACAAGTATATAAATTAATCCATTTTGTAAAATTCTCACTAGTAGTGACTACTACTGATTTTAAAATATTCACTTTCCTTTTTCTTTATAGCATTTGTTCAGTGCTCAGCACCGAAGCTCGACCAGACAGAGTAGAAATCGTATATGTTCCAGTGGTTTGATGGAACGTTTCTTGCAGGATGTTTTGCGACACCACCCATACAATTACCAAGACACCAGGTAAGATAGCCAAGCGGAATTATACTACATGCCTCTTGATTATCATTGGACTTGTATTAATGTTTGAAGACTTTCTACGTGTGTTAAGAAATGCAAAGGTAGGGGTTGGAGATAGGGTCAGTTGGTAGAGTGCTAGCCAATGAGCAAAAGCGTCAGATACCAAGTTCAAGTTCTAGTCTAGGATCTAAAAAAAGAAAGGAAGGAAGGAAAGAAAGAAAGAAAGAGAAAGAAAGAAATATAAAGTTGAGTGGGAGAGGGGGGATTGGGGGGTGTGCCAGTGGCTTATATGCCTGTAATCCTAGCTACTTAGGAGGCTGAGATCTGAGGATTGTAGTTTGAAGCCAGCTGGAGCAGGAAAAGTCTGTGAGACTTTGTATCTAATTAACCACCAAAAAGAGCCAGAAGTGGAGCTGTGGCTCAAGTGGTAGAGTGCTAGCCTTGAGCAAAACAGCTTAAGGACAGTGCTCAGGACCTTGAGTTCTAGCCTTAGGACTGCCCCCCTGCCACACACATGAAAATTTATTTTATCCCTAAGCAAGTGCTCTTATCACTGAGCTGCACTTCCAGCCCTAAAGTGAACTATTAAAACCTACTAATTTCTATTTGCAATTTTAATTTTTCTAGCTTAAAGAAGGCATTTCATTACAGGATAAGAATATACTTCAATGGTAGAATGCTAATCTAATATGTGCAACTGTCTGGTTTCTATCTCCAAAATCATAAGAAAGAAGTTTCACTAGAAAATATATGGGCTATATGCTTGCTATTCCTAAATAAAAGTCTTAGCTACAGGTGCCTGTGATTCCTGCCCATAATCCAAGCTGCTAAGGAGGCTGATGTATGAGGATCACACTTCAAAGCCAGCCCAGGCTAGGAAAGTCCTATGAGGCTGTTATCTGCAATTGACTGTCAAAAATGCTGGAAGTGGAGATGTGGCTCAAGTGATAGAATACTGCTTGTGCAGAAAAGCTCAGGAAAATCTCCCAGGCTCTGAGTTCATATCCTCAAACCAGCATACACCCACAGACAAAAAGTCTTAGACCATTAACTAGTCATATATATTTAGGAAGTTTTAAGTATGTCATAGAATTAAGTGGGGGTAAGGAGTAGAATGGTGGGAGCAAAACTATATCTAGAAGATAAATAACATAAAATCTGGGTGATTGTAGCAGAGTAAGAACAGTCAATAGTAAAAAGGTAAATCAGTTCCTATGAATTTAATTGCTCACTTATGAATCCTGAGTAGAAAAGGTACCAAGCAAAAACAAATGTCTATAATCTGAATGTCTAGATAGATTTTTTTTAAAGAATCCAGTTTGTTTGATTGTTTTTTATGAGACTAGTTTGGTTCCATGTAAGGGTTATTAGTATCTTTTGTTAAAGAAAAACACTGCTAGAAAATCAGATTTCATATTATGAGTTTGTAGCCTCAGCCAGTGTAAGATAAAGCAAAATAGTACTGTTTTCCTGTTTCTTTTGTCAAGAACTTGTATCATTGAAGACTAGATTTTTAAAAATTTGGGTTTTAGGGCTGGGAAGGTGGCTCAGTGGTAGAGCGCTTGGCTTGCATGCCTGAGGCCCTGGGTTCGATTCCTCAGCACCACATAAGCAAAAAGAAAAAAGCCGGAAGTGGTGCTGTGGCTCAAGTGGTAGAGCGCTAGCCTTGATCTGAAGAGCTGAGGGAGAGCGCCCAGGCCCCGAGTTCAAGCCCCACAACTGGACCCAAAAAAAATAAATAAATAAAAATTTGGGTTTTAATCAGTTTCTACTTATTTGATTACGCAAATTTTTGTAAAATTTGTAAATCCTTGATAGAGACCTCTTAGTAGGTTTTACCAATTTCTGACAACACCAGAAGTGTTTGAGGATTATCATTTCATGTCATTCTTGCCAGAACTAGGATTCTCAGCCTACTTTTCTCCTCTTCCAGCATGATAGGCTCAAAAGCCAACATCTCTTTTCATTGGCCTTTCTTTGGGAAAGAAGAGATTCTTTTGGAAATTTATAGGTCATATTTTATCCTATGGATTATGTGTTTGTATACTTTTCTATTAATGTACTTGTATATTGTAGATCTGCTAGAGGCATGACTTAAGCAACAGAGTAATAAGAGTGCCTATCACTGCAAAAAAAAAAGTCTTTGTATTTTCTTACAGTGTGTTATCTATCTTGTGGGCCTGTCCTGGAGTTGGAACTCAGGACCTGCCTCTGTCCTTGCTCAAGACTGACATATCACTTGAGCCAGAGCTTAATTTCTAGATTTTTGGTGGTCAGTTAGAGATAAGAGTCTCAGATTTTTCTATCTAGGCTGCCTTTGAATAGAAGTTCAAGATTTCAGCCTACTTAGTGGCTAGAATCAAAGGTGTGAGCCCCTAGATCCTGGCTATGGAATAGTTTTGATTATCATTTTCTTTGTGACTAGAGATGTTGAACATTTCTGCATGTATCATCCATTTGTATTTTTCTGAGAATTACTAGGTTCACTTCCTCAATTAATTGAATTTGTTCTTTTGTTTTTTTAAGCTATTTATATATTCTTTTAATCTCCATTCTTCTATTTATAATCTTTCAAACGTTGAATAGCTGGTGAAGATTTTCTTTAGGTTATTCCTTGGTTTTGGTGATTGTTTCTTTTGTTGTGTAGAAGTTCTTAATTTTACATAATCAATTCTTAACTCCCATTGAATGGGCTTCTGGAAATATATTCAGAAAAAATATATCTGTGTCTATAATTTCCAGAGTGGTTTTTTTTTTTTTTTTTTTTGGTTGTGGGTCCTGAACTCTGGGCCTGGGCACTGTCCCTCAGCTCTTCAGCTCAAGACTAGTGCTCTACCACTTGAGCCACAGCACCATTTCCGGATTTTTCTGCTTATGTGGTGCTGAGTAATCAAACCCAGGGCCTCATGCATGCAAGGTAAGCACTCTACCACTGAGTCACCTTCCCAGCCCCGTGTTTTTCTTATACTATGTTTTCTTGAAGTAGATCTAGAGTTTCTGGTCTCACTTTGAGCTCTTTTTTGGTCAGTAGTGTAGGGCTTGAACTTTTGAACTCTGGGCTTGGGCGCTGTCCCTGAGCTCTTCAACTCAAGGCAAGTGCTCTACCACTTGAGCCACAGCACTACTTCTGGTTTTCTGGTGGTTTATGGGGGTTAGAGTCTTATGGGCTTTCTTGCCCAGCTGGCTTTGAACTTGAACCATGATCCTCATATCTCAGCCTCCTGAGTAGCTAGGATTACAGGCATGAGCCACCAGTGCCCAGTTTACTTTGAGCTTTTTAAAAAATCAAGTGGACTTGTTGATTTTTGCACAGTCTGAGAGAATTTTCAGTCTCTACAGGTCTGTACTCAATCGGTTTTTTTTTTGGTACCATTTTCTTTTCTTTTTTTTTTTTGGGTCCGGTTGTGGGGTCTGAACTCTGGGCCTGGGCGCTGTCCGTCAGCTCTTCAGCTCAAGGCTAGCGTTCTACCACTTCCAGCTTTTTTATTTTCTGCTTATGTGGTGCTGAGGAATCGAACCCAGGGCCTCATGCATGCAAGGCAAGTGCTCTACCACTGAGCCACCTTCCCAGCCCTTTTGTACCATTTTCCATTATATATTTTGACTCCTTTGTAAAAAATTAGTTGGCTATAGCCATATAGTTACATTTCTAATTCTTCTGTTCTGCTTCCTTGGTCTTCAGGTCTATTTTTGTGCCAGTACCAAGCTGTTTGTATTACTATGACTCTGTAGTATAAAAATTGAAGTTTGGGATAGTGATACCTCCAGTTGTACTCTTTATTTAGACTGCTTTTGCTATTCAGGATGTTTTATGCTTCCATATGAAATAAGGATTGATTTATTTCTATGAAGTAAAACATGAAATTTTAATGGGGGATTGAATTGAATTTGTAGATTGGTTTTTGGCAGTATGACCATTTTCACAATACTAACTCTGCTGATCTGTGAACATAGGCAGCCATTCCATCTTCTTAGATTTCTTCTCTTTCTTAAAAAATTGTGTTGGGTGCTGGTAGGTCATGCCTGTAAGCCTAGCTACTCAGGAGGCTGAGATCTGAGGATCACAGTTAAAAATCAGCCCAGGGAAGGAACGTCTCTGAGACTCTTATCTCCAATAAACCACCAGAAAACTGGAAGTGGCACTGTGGCTTAAGTGGGAGAGTGCTAACCTTGAGCTGAAGATCTGAGGGGCAGCGCCCAGGCTGAGTTCAAGCCCCATGACCAATAAAGAGATTCTGTACCTTAGCTTTTCCCCCCTCAAGGCTGATGTTCTACCACTTGAACACTCTCAGCTGATTGTATTTTCTTGCCCAGGCTGGCTTCAAACTTGGTCCTCAGACCACAGCCTCCTGAGTAGCTAGGATTACAAGCATGAACCACTGGCACTTGGCTTTTCAATTTTTCTTTAAGGTTTTATAGTTTCCATTGTAGAGGTCTTTTACTTTTTTAATACATTTTTTAAAAATACTTTTAAATGCCTTTTACTTTTAATACTTATTGGTTTTTTTTTTTTAATACTTTATTGGTTTTGAGATTATTGTAAGTGGAATTGTTTTCCTGATTTCTTCTTTGCCTGTACTCTGTTGGCTTATAGAAAAACTGAGTTTTGATCGTTGATTTTGTATTCTGCTATTTTTCCAATGGAATTTATCAGTTCTTGAAGTTTTTTGACAGAGTCTGTAGGGTCTGCTAAGTACAGGATTATATCATTACCAAGTAGGGATAATTCGATTTCTTCTTTCTCTATTTGAATCCCTTTTATTTTATTTTTCCTGCCTTTTTGTTCTGGCAGGGAATTCCAAGTACTATATTGAATAAGAATGGGGAGAGTAACCTTATCTTGTTCCTGATTAGTTTAGCTTCAGTGCATTGACTGTGTCTAAACATTTTCCATTTCTAGATTTATCTAGCTGTTTTGGATATAGGCTTTCAAAGTATTCCTTCATGATTTCTTTGATATTTGTTGTGATATGCCCTTTTCTATCTCTAAATTTTACTGATTA